AGGGATTTAACTTTTGGTTTTCGTAAACTCCTTTATTGATTCAAAGTTTGACCCAACCATTAAAGGAAAAAGACAAAGGGTCAAATCAGAAAGTCAAGTTTACCGGCAAAAGCGTCGATTCACCGTCCGAATGGCACAATCCCGTACCCCCAGCCTCCCCCAAGAATTTCTCAAATCGTCAAACATTAGCTGTCTTTTCTTCTTTTCTTCAACCTTAAAAGAACTTCTTTTTCCTTATTTTCAAGGGTTTTTAGAGATGCAAAAAATATTAAATGAAACGAGACGGAAAAATTAACCCCGCAATTTTTAAATATCAATAAAAAAAATTTGTGTCTTTTTTTTGGAATTTTTTCCACGTTAGTAAGTGCCCATAAACCCCCTCGAATTCTAAAATTTTTAGGAAAAAATAAATAATTTCGAAAGGGGCCCCGATAAAGGGTAAAGCTGAATATTTGAAAATAAAAATTTTTTAATAAAGTACTCAAAAAAAGTGAAAACCAACGCCCCTGATTCAAAAAAATTTCCCCAAAATTTACCCCTTTGTTTTTTAGCGAAGGGAAAAGTAATCCTGGGCCAATTTTTCGAGGGAACCCCGGGCCCCCCCCTCCATTTCGACAGGGGGTCCTTTTTCGATAAAGTTCTTCCTTTTTTCGATTGGTATTTAAACCCCGTCCGCAGCCCGGGAACAAATTTGTCTGAAAGTTTTGTTCATTCGCACGTTTCAGTGCAAGGGATTTCGTTATTATACGGGGAACCCCGAACCCCTCCCTTTTTAAATTTGTTTTTAAATTTAACAGACCCCCAAAAAACGGAGAAGTTATAGGAATTGGCCCTTCTAAATGTTTTACTGTTTGCTAGCTTGCCAACCCCGATATTTTGGGTTTTCGGGCGTTGGGCAAAAGGAAAAACCCAAAAAAGGGGGTTCCTATTTGAGCTTTTAAAAAACTTTGATTTACAAAAAAATGAAATCCAAGGGCAAATATAATTTTGTGTGGTTTCCAAAAAACTTAGTTTTTCGCACTCCATAGCCAAAATAGCTCTGGGCTGGGGGTTGCCCACCCCCCCCCCCCTGCTTACACAAAGTTTCCGAGTTTAGTTGCTCTATCTCCCCTTTGATAGTCCCTTTAAAAAAAACATCGTTCAGTTAAACCCTTTTTTCGATTGTTTTTGGGCGGGGAAAATTTGAAATTTAAATTAAACCCCCAAAAAATCAAATAAATAGCAAAAAAATTAAACCCAAATTTAAAAATTTAATAGATTCCCCCCAAAATCACCTGATAGATTTTGAAACGCCCACTATTTTAAATTTAAAAAGGATTAAAACAAAAAACTGGCACTTTGATTAAACCCTAAAATTTCCTTTATATGTTTACCCCGGCCCTTTTACCCAAAATATCTGCTATATTTTCCTTTTAATCAAAAGCTACAAATTTCAAAGGGAAAATCTTTGGGTTTGGGGCCCCGGGGCCCCCCCTGGGAAAATTTTTATTATACCAGAGTGCCGAAATTAAATAAAATACGATTTTACGGGCTGCCCGTGCTTGGGACAGTGTATAAAAACCCCCCGAATATTTGGTTTTTTAATGGCCCCGTGCACAGCAAATTTTCCCCCTTTTGCCCCCCGTGAAATAATTTTTTGCCCCCCCTTACTTAGGGCCCTTTCCCTGGTTAAACCCTTTCCCAACAACTCCCCGTTATCCATATTTTGATTGAATTAAAAAAGATAATTTTGTAATTGCGTTTTTCAAACTCGTTAATTTAAATTGAAAGGGTTTAAAGGGCAGAAATTTTTAAGTAATTTTCCAAAAATTTTTGGCTTCCCAAAAAAAATCTTTGTGAAGGGAAAAGGGAAGATTTGTTATTCTGAAAAACCTTGGTGCAAAAAAGCATGTAACCCCTTTACCTATTTTTTTTTAAAAAAACATGTAAATGGGCCAATGTTACTTTGATTTCCGGGGTTTATAGGGTATTTTGGGCAATAACCCGTACCGGGCAAAAAAAAGACAAGAGCGCAAATAAAAGGAAGGGAAGAAGCGATGTATATTAAGGGTTTTGACTTCCCCCCCAAAACAAATTTAAAAAGGAGCTCTGGTTTAAAAAGGGAAAATTTAATTTTCATTGACATTTTAATAGGAAATAGGAAGGGACGCAAAATTTAAAAAAAACCCAAACCCGCTTTTAAATAAAAGGGTTTTAAAGTCCCAGCCCCGCTCAAACCCAAATTATTTAAAAAGTATTCCCTAAGGCTTTTGCCCTATTTAATTAACAAATTTTAAAATACTCTAAATTAAATAAATACAGCTGAAATCATTTTAAAAAAGCCCGAGCTTAGCCTCGATTTCAGACTTACGAGGGGTGGGGCCGGGGGTTTTTAGTGTTTTTTTAAAAAAAATTGCAAGCCTACACAATAAATAATATGTAAAACCCACGTGTTTTATTTACCCCGAAAAAATTTCGTTTTCCAAAAAGCCCCGGGGGCGGATATTTGATGAGGGAAATTTTACGTGGTCTGAAAAACAATCAAAGGGGAAGGGGTAAAACGAACTCGCCATTTCTCAAAATCTAAATATCTACTGGGCCTTCCCCCCAAAAAAATAGGTGCGAAGATTTGAGGGGGGGAGATAGGGTTGTTTTTGGTTTGTCAAATTTCCAAAGGAAAAAAGGGTTTTTAAAATACCGACAGAGATGGGCTTTAAATCGCTCCAATCCCCAAATTTTTAACTCAAAAAAGCCCAAAATGCCCAAAAAAAGTAGAGCGTGACGCTTACTTTTGCAAAAAACTTTTTGCTATTTTGATAAAAAGAAGAACCCCGAAGAAACCGGGAAAACCCAAAAAAAACGTACAAATTTTACAATAAAAAAAAAGCAACAGAGATTCACAGAAAATTTTTGTTTTAAACCGGGGAAAGGGGGACCCAACCCGAAAGGGCCTGTTTTTTCGAGGAAAGGGAAAAAAACCTTCCCCAAATCTTGGGTGGGGAAACTCACGAGAAAATCAAACGAAAATAACAAATTAAAAAGGGGTGAGTTGTAAATTTAAACCCGCCCCAGCGTGTTTTCTTATGCATTCAAATTTTCGTTGTGTCCCGGGGGAATTTTTAAAAAAGTGCCCCCGTTTAGGTAAATTAAAATAAAATTTTAATTTTCACTAATTGCCAAATTAAAAACAAGCAGGGGGAAATAATGAGAAGGACTCAAAATTTTGTAAAAGGGGAAGGGCTAACGTAAAATTTCCCAATACTTTAATCAGAGGCCCCGCCGATAATAATTTAAAAAAAATAAAAAAAACACAATTTATAATTCCCCCTGGAAAGAAAAAACACAGCGCAACAGATGGTTTTAAAAATAAAAAAACGATACACACGAGCAAGCTGCCCAGAAATTTTTCAAAATATTATAACAAATATCCCCTTTATATATATCCCCCAAGATAGTCCCGCGGAAGGGAATTTTAAAACCCAGAAGGGGACGTGGGAGAGAGGGGAGGGGAGAAAAGTTAAAAAAAATTTAAAATGCGATGTGCGGTTTTTGTGAGAGGCCCAAAGGAAAAAAAAGAGAAAGAGTTATATATTTAAGCCCACAAAAACGCTAAATAAAGAATGTTTATAAACCCAATGCGAAGTGGGAGGGATTTTTTGAGAAAGTGGGGTGGGACGAAGAAGTAGTTTAAGATTAGGGTGGTTAAAAGACTAGAGGCCCGCCCCAAAAAACCCAAAGGTTTTTAAAATAAAGTTTCATTTTTCAATCCATACCCGTTTCTACCCTCTTGTACCACCCGGGGTTTTCTTTTTTTTTGGGAATTTAAATTTCACTTTCAAATATTTTTCATTAAAATGGGAAAAGATTAAACCCCCGGTTTAAAATTTTTTTAATTTTTTTACACGACAAAGGGGTATTGGGTATATATTATTTAAAAAAGCTCGAAGTTTTTTTTCGTTCAAATAAAAACTTTTACGAAAAGGGTTTTTGGCAAATTTTCCAAAAATCTGGAAAGAATTCTAAAGAATTTTATTAAGAAAATTCATTTTTTTGCCGTCTAGGGAATCGTAAAAAATTTTAAAATTAACATTTGATTTCTTTTAATTAGCAAGAAAGTATCATTTAATGCTGTAATTCATTAACAATTTTTTACACATAATTATTTTTACTTTTTTAAAAAACCCGGGAAAAAATTTCAAAATCACGTACGATTTATTAAAACGCAACTTTAAAATTTTACAAATTTTTTTCAAAAAGAAATAAAAACCCAAAAACAAAAAAAATTACTTGATGAAAATCAAAAATTTTATTTTATGTTTTAAAAATTAAAACATTCAAATAAAAAAGATAACATATTGCACCCTTTTTAAACTGAAAAAAACATCTAAAAAAACGATCGGGAAAAAAGCAACAAACCCCCGGCAATACCCCAAAAATGCTACCAAAAAACACGAATAACTTTTAAAAATATAATAAACTATATACCCACCAAAAAAAGCATTGTACATTCCGTCATAATTTTTATTACAAAATAAACAAATATAAAAGATTCCCAAATTTTCTTTTTAAAACTACATAACCTTCCCGATAAACAACAAAACAAACTAACGGCGTTCAAAAAAACCCCCAAAACACCCGAACCTAAATTCCCCGACAAAACCCCCCAGAGCCAGATCACCCCCAAAAAAATTTCCCCTTTAAAAAAAAAACCCCAAAAACATTTAAAAAAAAACCCACTATGTCTAAACTTGCCTGTTAAAAAACCCAACTTTAACACTTATTGCCCCTGAATTCGCGCGAGTTGAACCCCCATGTACCCGCTAAAACTAATAAAATTTTTTTTAAACCCGGGGACTTTACTAGTGATCTTCAAGCTCCCCGGATTTTGATGATGTCTTCAGGGTCGATTGTAGATCTTTTGACGTGCCGGGTATGAATCATAAAAAAATGCTGTATTTTTTTTGATGACGTTGACGGAGTCCAGCCTTTTTAGGGGGAGGGGGTTTTTTTGGGTAAAAACTTTAATTTTTCTTGCAAGCGTAGGTCACTCCTTTACTAGTGGCTATATGATTAGGATGTCCGGACACACCATACCTATCAAACGTGATGATGATATCAGGTGTGCACTGTTTAGCATAGTTCCCCACCTCCTCCCCCACCACCTCAACATCCCACTTATTACTAGGGCCATCTTGTAAACCCTCATTTTCTGCTATCTTCATATTCTCACCTGGAATACCCAACTTCTTAGCACTTTGCTCCAGTTCCTCCTCCCTGACCTCACCCAAACCATCATGGTTACCGTTACTCAGACACAGCAGGAACACCTGTCCCACTGATTGGAAGTACCTGATGGTGGGACCGAAGAACATGCACTCATCGTCAGGGTGGGAGGTGACAAAGAGAACCCGTTTATTGTGGTAAGAGGAAGGCCAGCGAGCTGTTCCTAGGAAGTAGAAGCCGATGAAGATGTAGGCGGTGATTGTGGTACACAGGGATACGATTATCGGGTACATAATGCTGTCTGGAGTGAAGGGAGAAATTAGTGTATTAGTAATTTATCTTTTAAAAAGTATGGCAGTTGAAGAAATATGATCATATTTTTTAGAAATTCGTGGCATTTGATTTCATTTGACATATTACTACTTTATTATACGGCTGAGTGGAGTTGGGTTAAAAACATATAAGAGATACGATGATTTATTATACGGGAAATTTTATTTTTTAATTATGTCATTCATTTCATTCCCAGCTCAAGATTTATGCGAGATTGCGAGCCGGACTCATCGCACAAAATTTGTAAATAAATGAGGAAACAGAAAAAGTTTAACTTAAAAGTTGAGGGAATTAGGAACTTAACATGTATTTTATACTCTTAACGTGTATTTTATCACTTGTTTATAGCGTGAAAACTTCGACGTAACGCGCGCGAGATTTTTGCCAGATTTTTGCGAGTTTCGTTTAAATCTCATAGCTAGGCTCACAATATCGTGAGATTCTCCGCGAGATTTCGGCACCCTCTTTCAGCACTACATATTCGGTCGCGCGCTTGCATTTTCATCGCTTTTCAGCGTGTTTATTCACTGTACTGTCTAAGTCTTAAAGGATACTAGTTGTTATAAGATCAAGATTCACAGTGGTTACTATAGTTACCATGGTTACCATTAAAGGAGGTACTATTCCTGGCTATATTCTTTCTCAGAATATACTTGATACTGCCATAGGCATAGTGAATATTTCTTCATTAAAAGTTTGAGAAAGGGTCTCTTCAACTGGAGAACTGACTTATTAATCCTAGCAGGTAATTAACTCTGGATCCTCATCACATTGATTCCATTCTAAATTCTAGCCATAAACAAAACAAACATTACCAGATAACTCCGTTTACAATAATTTGACATGTTCCAGTGTGAACGAGGCCTTCCCCGGACAAATCCTTAAATGCCGGTCTTCTCAGTCTCTTAGTTCTCTAGATGAAGTACGAACAGTATAATCTATCGGATAACGTATATTACAAGGTGCTCTGATGATAATTTTAGTAAAATAATTAATAATTGCCAAAAGAATGACCGCTGACGAGACTCGAACCCGAGTCAACTGCTTGACGAGCGCGCCCTCAACCATCGTGCTACGTGAGGCTAACCATAATTACAATATGTAACATAATATAATTCATGAAAATACGGGGGGGGGGGGGGGGGGGGGGGGGGGGGGGGGGCCAACCATATTAAAGTATATTAAAGTATATCCCCGGGTCAAAATCGGAAAAAATCCTACATTTTAATATACTTTAATATACCTACAATTAGAAGATTTATATTCTTCGTTAAGATTTACATGATGAACTATATTTTTCACTCAGATTCGCAAGATAAGCCTGTTTTAGGACTAGTACATGAATTTCCATCCAGATTGGTCAAAAATTGGCTGAGCTATGAGCTTTAAAAAATATGCCCATATTTGGGCATACGCTTTTGTCCAAATTCGCTTTTGCCCAAATTCGATAAAATTTCAATATTTTTTAATGAGACTAACTCTATGTGAAAGATATAACTCAGTGTTTGTTGAATATAGTGGATACTAAGTAAAAAGACCTCCATGAACAAATTGGGAAAATTGCACATAATATCTCGGTTCAGAATACTAGCCAAAATAACTTCATTAAAATTGAAATAACTCCATCAGTTTTCAATATTTTTTCAAGAACTTTTTGGAATCGATTAAGGATTGCATTTCAAGCTTATTTTGGGCAACAATTTTTGATGTAGGCCTCCAAGGAGATAGGGATATATTAAAGTATATTAAAGTATATTAAAGTATATTAAAGTATATTAAAGTATATTCCCGGGTAAAAATCGGGAAAAATCCTACATTTTAATATACTTTAATATGGTTGGCCCCCCCCCCAAATACGCACGTAAATTTTTCGTTATTTATGGATCCAATAACAGCGACATACTTTTCGCTTACAAAGGGACTCGCGAAATCTTTTTAAATAGAAAATAATTTGTGGGGCAAGAAATCTTGCAGGCTGGAGGGGGGGGGGGGGGGGGGGGGGTGGGGAGTACATTTCGTGAAAATCGCACTTCTAGTGTCAAAATCCAATCTCATCGCACTTTTTTTAGAATCTTGATAGGGGATTTCATTAGGGGTTGAAAGAGTCAAAGAAAGAGAGACAGATTGAACAATAATAAACTTGAAAAAGTTACTATTCAAATACAAACTCAACATCACGTTGCAATTATACATAATATAATTACTAAGTAATTGTAATAATTAGAACATTATATTAATAAAGCTTATAAATATATCATGTAACCGTCTTTGTCGAGATTTTTGCTGAGTTAGGCTCTACTTTGTGTTCTAAGTGCACCGTCCAGCCTCATCCAGTGAGGGGTATATCTGAGGGAGGTTTATCTTTTAAATTTACAAAGCAGTCATAATATATTTAGTCTTAACCATCTATTTATGTAAATTCTCAAATGACATGAGGTTAGTTTTTAGAAGAGTACTGAGAAATTAACCACCTAAGATAAAACGTGATAACTATTGAATCAGTTCTAAAATAACAATGGGACAACATATGTAATGGCTAGGAAGTAAAGGAACAAAATGTTTACCTGTTAGTAGGGTATTTATAGAGTTGTAAGAAGAGCATCTATTGGGTCTTTGCCAAGAAGACGGAATTTTCCTGGTTCTTCCTGATCCTTTCTACAGATGCCAACTTCAATATTAGTTGAACTGATCTTTTCTTCCATGACTTGTTTCAAGACATTGAGGCAAAGCTTCACACCATCGTCCAATGTCATAGACTTGTGATACTGTTCTTCCAGAGTTGCTTGTGCCCCTTCTGATCCAGCACCAATAGCTTTAGCACCATACTTAAGATATGTTCCACTGGGGTCCATATGCAGTAGAACTGACTCTCCATTCTCGTCAACTCCCGCCATTAGGATAGCAACACCAAAGGGACGTGACATTGACTTTCTGTCATACTCACCAAAAGATAATGCAAGGTTTGACACTGACTGGGTTACACTTTCCACGGTCATCTTTTCGTTGAAGGTGAACCAATGACTTTGAGCCTCAACCCTTGCATGATCAATCAAGATTCTTGAATCAGCAATTAGTCCACTCATGGCACATCCAATGTGATCATCAATTTCAACAATTTTCTCGATGCTAGAAGGAATCATTAAAGGGCTTGTGATTCTGCGTTCTACAGCAAGACATACTCCTTCTTTAGTTTGAACACCCACAGCAGTGGATCCCAGTTTTATAGCTTCAATAGCATACTCCACCTGGAAAATCCTGCCCTCTGGAGAAAACACATTGACACCCCGGTCATACTCTGATCTGCTCTGGAACATATTCTCCTAAAAGGCACTGGATTAAGGTAACCAACACTATTTTAAAACGGAATAAATTACATATTAAGTCAGGTTACATGTAAAAAACTTCTTTTTACAATTTTGGTACTTTATATTTGAATCTGTTTAATAAACTTCCAAAAGCACCCAATTCAATCAGGATCAAAGGGTAAAAAGGATGGCAAGAACAGTCCTAGTGAACAAGGAGCGACAAAAAGATTATAATATGCGGGTCCGGGTTATGGGGTGCACACTGCACACCTTGAACTGAGGGATAAGTTGAAAACAATCATATGAAGGATATGTGGAGGAGTAAGGAGAAGGCCTAGCCTGCACTGGGCCCTGTACTATGGCTTGAAAAGCAAATGAATGTATCAAGTTTGCAACACATGAATACCAAAGATCATAGTAAGCAAAACATAGTTTCAAAACAATAGAATAAAAGAAGAAAAAGTGGTAATATCTTGATTGAATTCACAATAATTGCAATCCCAGGGATTTAAGTTAGAAAATACAATTACCATAATAAAAAAGAGAGTTAGAATTAATTTACAAAAATTATGATCTACAAATAAATAAAATTGATAGTATTAATCTAAAAAATAAAGATTCACTAGACAGAATAAAAAGTAAATTTACACAGCAGTTACCATAGAATAAAAATAGAGACAATGTTACTTAAATAACATCAAGACTGCTGACTGGGAAAGAGCTATAACAAAGAGATAACTAGCCCCGAAACTGAACCCCATCACACTGTTGTTGCAGAGGTCAGTGCTACATTCAGTACAGCCGGAACTGAAAGAATGACACCCAGCCCCACAGGAAAGCTCTGTTCCAATCTTCTGCCTTGTGAAAATAATTTATATTGTTATGAAGGGACAAATGTATCCCTCCTGCCTATGACGTTAATTGCTTTTCAGTTAATTAATCCGACTGAGCTTTTGCCTTTTTCCACAAATTTCCCAATAATAGTGCAAGAAATACTAATTATCTTACATCATACACTTTAAATGGGGACTTTCACACTCGATTTCTTTGATTGTGCTGCCAGCTACTCCATAATTACACTTGATAGCAATAGAAACTCCAACCAACACTACAAGTAACAACACTTTCAAGGAATTCGTCATCTTTAAGTCACCAGATCTGGCTTTTGGGAGGATATTAATTATATGATTATATGATTCATAACTTTAACCATTCTTAATTCTTGACAGTTGACGTCAAAAGACAAAATTGATGATTCACCTGTTCTTTTTATTTCACAGTTAATGCAGCAACAATACAAAAGTAGTAAAAATACATGTTTTTCCATGGAGAATAATACATAAAATTCAAAGCCATAATAATATACAAAATTCAAATCTAAGTTTAATGCTATAGCTGAAAGATGTGGCACCTCCTCTAAGAGAGCAGTACTAGCAGCAAGAGAAAAGGGAGTGTCCAGTTGGCTTAACACATTGCCAATTCAGCAGTATGGCTACACTCTGAACATAGAGGAGTTTTGCCACAGTGTCTGCTTACGCTACAGCTGGTGGATACCAAACACTCCCATCACCTGTGGATGTGGGAAAACAAGTGATCTTGACCACCTTCTCACCTGTAAGCTAGGGGGCTACGTAATAATGACCCACAACAACATC